TTTCCCCCATCTTGCCACAAATGTCGCATGTCATCATAAGGTTTAACCTAAATCTCGATTACCTTACGCTCTTGCCAACAAATACACGCACGCACCACACCCAGTTACGATTAAAGGGACACCACCAGTGGAGGTGGTGTTCTGGTAGTGGTAGTGGTGCTACCATTTCTAATTGGTTAGTACAGCAATTATTTTTAGACCATTGTTCAGGCTAAAATCGGATATTGCCTGCAACGCCCACAAATTAAACGGAGTGAAAAATCAATAAACTTCCTTCAAGTGGTAGTGGGGGAAAGCCCTTACAACCCCTTAACAAACCCTTAAAATTACCAGAATATCCTTTCTTTAGTTGGTAAAATATAGAGAATCTTTTCATAAAAGACCTATTTAACGGATTTTTCTCAATTTGCTGCACTTTTTCAGGCAGACAACGAAAAATCGATAATCCGCAAAATGGACGCCAACATGGCTGCTCCCCCAAATCTCAGACTTTGAGCCTGAAAATCTCGAGTTTTCCCCACTGAAATTCAAGTATAAAAGTTGTCTTTTACCTGAGCTCCATTTTCGGTGACCATTTTCTTTTCGCAAATTGGAAAACTTCCTTCTGGCCTTTAAAGTCTGCGTTTGTAATTGGTGTAGAGAAATTGTGTAAGCGGCGACGACGGTGGCGGCGTATGTCGTCACTGCAGCTTAGTCATATTCTTTTTTTCACTGGCCCAGAGACTTTTCCACAGCCACAGGATCTCGCGGAAAACTCACTCTTGCCTCGAGGACTTGCTCGAGACCTTCTCTGCTTTTTTCCGATTTTTGAATATTTAATGCACTCCTATCGATTTTTCCTTAGACTTTATGTAAGCAATATATGTACATGAGTGAGTGTGCGAGGAGGGTGTGTTCGTACGGGCGACCGAGTCGAGTGTGTGCGTGTCAGTGTCTGTGTATGGGTGTATGGGTGTGCGCCTTTGTCAGAGTGTGTGTGTGTGTGTGTCTGATTGGATTTTCTGGCTGCTCTCACACAGTCCCTTCTGAATTCACGGATTTTCGAGGAGCACTTTTCGTTGCTGCCGTTTTCTTCGATGTTCAACTCCAGACTGGATGCGACAAGTTCTGCCACGAGTGGTGGTAACTTCAACTGTCGCCAGGACTGTTCGAAGGACCTGCGCACTTGGTCATTCCAATTGGAACGTTCACCCCCTGGGAACTCGAGGGTTGTTCCGACCGCTGGAAGCGGGAAGTTCGAATTGGAAGTGCCAGGCTGTCTAACTCTCTCCCCCACCATCCGGCACGTGCCCTTTGTTATTGTTGATGTTTTTATAGTCCTTAGAGCACGTGCTATAAAGGAAGTCATGGCAGCAGATCCCTATCAATGGTCTATTGTTGGCTTAAATGCATTGTTTTTAGGAAATTTTTAAAATTTAATGCATGTCTAAATAGAATTTGATTCGGTTTTGAGGGAAGGGTAACTTGAGCTCGAAAGTGAGACACCAGAAAAAGTGAATTAATCATTTTACAGAAGATATTTTATAAGTAAGAACTTAATTTGTGAAGTTTCTAGGGTTGAAGTACATTACGAGTTGAATGATGACGAATATTTCTAGTTCTGTAGTGAAATAATAATTCATTTTCGACATTTTCTATTAATCAAGCTCCAAATCTTAAAAGTCATTAGGCCATTTCACCCCTTTTTTTTACATAATCCTGTTTAATGTCTCTATGCCTAATTTGTTACATTTATTTGATACACAAATAAAAAGGGAAGTTTTTGTATGTGGGTATTCTTCACTTTAAAACAATATATCCTTTGTAACCAGCCCCAGTAAACGGTACTTCCTGTTCCGTTTCTCTCACAAATTGTTATTTGTTCAAACCAATAAGAGTAAAGTGCACCACACCCTAGTTCCTTTTATAAATATTTACAAAACTGTAGTTATTCTTCACAAGGCGTAACTATCCTAACAAGACCCACATTAATCACTCAGTCATGGCACACACAATAAAATCCAGGGGCATTAAGTTCCACCAACAGTGTTTCAGTTAGCACATTAGACTAATTAGACAAGTACACACACGAAAAGCACATGGACATGGTCCTACCCCTAGATAATCTGCCGGCCCGAAACACTATTGACCGAGAGTAAATAAAGGCCGGGCCGAGACGAGCGAGTGCACACAATCCACAGTTGGTTGGCAGCGGCTGGATGGCCGGAATCCTTCCAGTTTTTGGGATTAGCTTCCGCGCAGACGCGCAGCTTGCCTGGACTTTGTTTACTTGACGTTTCGATGATGGAGAGACCAGTTCGAAAATCACACCCCAAAACCCACCCTCTAAGAATATCGTTGTATCCGTATCGAGAGGTCGAAAATCCCAATCGGATGCGTATGCATTCCAGTCACGTTGTGCCAAGTAAGGCGAAGCAGGGCCCCAGTGCCATTAATTTGCTTCTTAGACAGGAAATCCACCCTAAAAAAAGAAAGAACCATCCCCTTTGAGGGATTGCATAAAATTGCATTTCAAATTGCATCGTGACTGGGACAAATTGTGGTGTAAACAAAGGAATGGGTGTGCGTGAATCACGTTGCAGGTAATTAACTGGGGTAAATGCATTCAGCCATGGTTGCCAGCAAGGTGCCAGGCACATTTTGAATTTAATTAAAAGAGCTTCCCCTTCTTTCCGGATCTCGCCCTTAAAGTCCACTCACTTGGCCTTTATCGCCAGGCCCGTTTGTTTGGTTTTGACCAAACCAGAAGGGGTTTCCTGGTCGCACTTTAAAGCCAAGAAGGCACAGGGTGGGCCCAAAACCAAATGGCTCTTTCGCATGTCACCTGGCACTTGAGCAGTGTTTATATATGTCTATACTCTCCCCTTGTTTTGGATATTGTCATTTGTGTGTTGCTTAATTAATAATTCAAAAGGCTTCTTTTGCTTTTTATCCAATGCAATTGATAGATTTTTAATTACTTTTCTAGCCTTGGGTTACCTAAGATTGCTTAAAGCTCAAGGGAAATGTGGAAAATGTAGGGAAAGTAACATTTAGAGCAGGTAGAATATTTAAAATGTTAATTAAAACATCATTGAGGGAATTTATCTAGACTATATTTTAAGTATCGAAGCCCTGGAACCGATTTATTTTAAAAGAAGTGAATCAGATACTATTTAAATAAGAATTAGGATATGTACACTATCCAATTTAATTTCTGCAAACAAGACTGCTTTTGTTGGTAATAATTAACCTGAATTTAACAAACCCCAAAGTGTATTCCCCCAAAAAGAGTATCCCCTATTCGATACCCTGAATAAGCTGTTAAATTCTCCCCTTATTTAAGTTAATATTTGTGTTAGCATCGCTGTGGCCTGTTGGAGCAATATGATATTTCAAGAACCCGCCCCGAAGCCCCTTAAAAAAACACATCGTGGCAGGAATGTTTTTGGGGGCAATGCCTTAAGTAAATTACAGCTAGATGAGCTGATTGCCCATAATTCTGACGACCCCAAAAAACGCAACGAAAATTGAGCACGCCAAAATTGCCATTTGTGGGTAATTTCAGGGGGGAAATGAAAACATTTTCACCGTGTTCACTCGATTGCACCTGATGGGGACGGGAGGTTGGAAAATGAAAACATGGCGAAAAAGGAAAAACGAGGCACGCACAAAATTATGAAAAATGTAAAATTTCCTCGCACGAATCGCGGGCGGTATTTTTGTATTTATAAAACAGATGCTATAGGTTGTTGTTTTTCTTTTTTGTAATATTTTTTTATGGGGGATATATGGCTGCCCCCTTCCCGGGAATTACATAAATTAAGTCCAAGGTGTCGCCAAAACTTACGCCCAAACTCTGCAGCGATGGGAAGCGTTTCTTCAGCGTCTCCATTTGCCCAGATCTTCCAGCTTATCCAGCGAAGAACCTCAACTTGCTGGCCAATAAAATTGAAATATATATATACGCGTATATATCTAGATATTGTCTAGGGGCCTCACGCGGCAGCCGCACCGAGACGAGACGAGTCGAGTCCGATTCGAGTCGTTTTCTGAATTATTTTCGAATGCGCCCCGTCGGTTGAGAGGGTCCCAGAACAGAATAGAATCGAATAGAATAGACCTGAGAATATACACAGAGACTAACAGCCGTAGAGTAAAGAGTGAGGCAACGAGAGAGAGAGAGAGAGTGAGCATTTAGCCAGTACATTTAGCCAAATTGGCTATTTATAAAGGCCAACTAGAAGCCGTGAAGATTGCGAAAATAAAGAGCTTTTAGCTGTGCGTCGACCTCAGGATTGTCGAGTTTATGGAAACACCAGGCATCCGGGCGCCAGCAGGAGTTTGGTTAATGCCCCCGCAAGGACAACGGAAGCGCACTGTCGCCGCCTGCCCCGGATGACTCATTTGGCATTGGACGGAGTCAGTCCAAGGATTACTATTGCGTCATTGCATTGGGCAGGAGTTATGTCTCCTCAAGATTGTGACTACCGCAAACAGAAAATGATGCTCCCAAAAAAAAGTTGTGATTCATGTGCAAGTTTAAGGATGATTTATGTCACCATACAGTTGATGATGTTATCATACCCTTAGCCAGATTTAGGGGTGACCTCGATGGGATTTTTGTATCCTTTATCCTACATCTGAAAGTTGATATATCTGAAATGCTATTAGGGTACATAAGGATGTGTTCCTTTAATCTCTTAACAAGATGTGTAAGCCACATCTCATAAAATTCTTTAGATAATGGCCCACCACACACATTTAAAATGTGGATTTTTATTGCCTTAATCCCATCCTTTTAGCCAAGTGAAAAGTGTTCTCCATAAAAATGTATTGGAGTATAAAAAACCGGATACATACAAATATGAACCCGCCTATAAAAGCTATTCAAACTTTTACGACTTTATCGTATCCTTTCTAGCACATTAGGTGATGACCTCTAATTTTGTACCCTCTGCGGCCTCCCAGATCACGTGACTATCTTTATTAAAAAATAAAAATGGAGCAACCTGCTCTTCCTAATTCCCTATGATGTAATCCTGGGAATGTCTACTCACCGCACTCTGATGTCCTGTGGGGCAATGCTCGTGCTTGTTGCCACTGTGATGTGGGTGCGGGTGCTGCTGCTGCTTAGTAGCTCCGCTAGCTCCTCCCTCATGGTGGAAGACCTGCTCATGATGGTGCTGATAGTACTCGTAGTGACCAATATGATCCGGATGGTGTTCCGCCGGTGGCGAATGAATCTGCGAGGGCGGGCTGTGGCTGTGATGCTGCGTCTTGGAGGAGTGTCCAGCGGTAGTAGTGCTGTGATGCGTCTGCTTGTGCGGATGGGCAGCTGCACCATGACCGCCGCCGGAGTGATGTCCATGTCCATGGCCATGGTGATGATTATGGGTGGGGGGCGAGGGCATGTTGTGGCCGCTGTGGGGCAGATGCGACGAGTGTTGCACACCCACCTGATGACCGTGGTGGTGGGGCACATGACCTTGCGACGCCTCCATTAGCGTGGGTTGGATGTGGGTCACAAACTGGGCCATCTTGACGAGACCTTCGACAGCGGCTAGCTTCTTTTTGTATTTTTTTTGTTAGGAGGCTTAGGTAACACTTGTTTAAATTTTCACTGCTCCCTGCGAGAGGGGGGGCCTCTATATATGTATCCCAGATGTGGGAGTGGGCAACACCAAACACACACACACACACACTGGCACTCACTTTCTCTCAGGGACTTGTGGACGCGATGGAGCAGACGGGCGCCAATGGAGGATCTAAGCTCGGAGCGTGGACAACCTTCTCGCAGGAGCAATGTCAAATGACTGACTGGCAAAGCAGCCTAGGACCAGCAGCTATCCCAGTTGTGCCTTAGATGCCACAGGACTTTCCACCACTACCCCCTCCCTTGGTCGAGCCACCCGCCAAGGCACCACCCGAACCACTTCGGCTCCGTGTCGGGCTCTGCTCGGCGTCCTGCCTGGCGGAAGAGCTTTAACCGGACCCAGTTTTATGCGCCTGGCTGATAAGAGACTCCTTGCTCTCACTCCCGCTCCTGTTTCTGTTTCTGTTGTGCCTGCCTTTGATGATGCTGATTTTGGATGCTGATTTAATGATGCCCTCCTGTCCTGCTCCACGTCGCTCTGCTCTTTATCTGCTGGCTGTCAACTGTGTCACGGACTCCCAATTCGTTTTGCTGGAGAGATTGTTGTGTATATATCACTCACTCTGTTATTTTTAACGCAGCCAGCGGAACATGTTTCATCTATTTGTGTCAAGCGCAAAAGTATGCTCCCATTTTTAAGAGCCTAACAGGTGGCAGGGAAAGTAATCGACTAGGTAATACTGCTTGAAAGGATATAGAAAGGGTAGAGGAATTTAAAGGGAATAATTTAATATATATTTCTGCAAAAAGTATAACCAACATTCTAAAAATGATTCCATTTCTATGTGTATTATCTACTCTTTAATATGCTTTGATTTTTCGTAAAGTAATAAACATAATATTTCTACAAATACATTCATATATGTGTATTTTTTAAGAAATGAATACTTCATTATTTTTTAACTTTTGTAATATAGATAGTTTTATTAAACTTATAAGGTCTGAGTGCACTTTTTCTTCTTAATATCCATTTATAGCTTAGCCGAATATACCCTTGGTTCTTTTTTGTACCCACACTTTCCCATAAACTTTGCTTTACGTTGTTTAAGCTGAAAGCTTTTACCCTTACGTTTTTTGTTCAAGCTTACGTTGAATTGTAGGTACGTTTTTGAATGCTTTTATAAAAGGGTATTTTCAAGGGTACATTGGCTTCTCAAAAAAGGGGGTGTGTCTCTGTTTCTACATTATATGTAAAGATAAGAAGGTAAAGAAATATAAATGTAGTTAAACCTCATATTGCAATTATGTTTGATAGGTTATTACAATTATAAAATGAAAAATAAACTCAAAGGTTCTTATAGAAAATATAAAAGTCCCTTAAGTATGTTCATGATACCATGTTATTAAAAATTAAAAATGGAATTCCTTAAATCTCTTTTTCCCTGTATAAATACCTTAAAAACCGCCAAGTAAATGAAATATAAGCAAACCCTTTGACACATAACCCTTTCCAAAAAGCTCAAAATGTTAGTGAATACAAAGTTCGGAGAGCATTCCCTTATCTCTCACCCAGCTGGATGTATGTACCCAGAGATGTGTATGCTTGTGGTACGTGTGTCACCACCAAGAGTCTGTAGCTTTGCTCCTCTACTGCTGCCAGCGCAACAAAGTCCAATGTCCAAGCGTCGCTGCCCGCCGTACCGCCATGTACAAATATCGCTGTACCGGTGCACCGCCAACTCGTTTGGATCATTTCGCTGCGAGCCACCGACGAGTTAGTACGGCGACCTACTTAAATCTAAATAAAATTATTTAAATAAACCCATAAACCAATGGCGTTCCTCAACAAGGTGAGCATATCAGTTAATTTGCGCAGAGAGAAAGTGAAAAAAACAATGTGGGGGAGGGTTCAAAGTTCTGTCTAGTGACGACAGCAATTGTTGATCGTCTGCGATACGGAATTATATATACAATATATGCATAACGTATATGTATGCTATGTTTCGTAAACACATTTGTTGTTGCTTATCTGCCAGCAATCATCTGTACTTTGCCCCCCCGTACGGCAAATATTATTAGCGGCGATTTGCACTTGATTTAAATTGGAATGTGAACCTTACTATCGGTACTGATATAACCTAAAGCATAACAAGTCAAAAGACCTTAATACCTTATCATCTAAATACAAACAATATGAATTAATGGAGCAAATTAACAAGCAGACTTAAAAAGACCTCAAAAGATGTCACGAATCAGATTAGATCATAATACTAATTTATATATCTTATAAACACAGCTAGCTGCGCCTGCCCTGCGCCAGCTGGTGGCCCAAAGTCGCTCTTATGCCGCCGTCTCTCATGTCTCGCCCAATGGCACTTCCTTTGCCCTCACCGAGGAGCAGCAGCAGCTGCAGGAGCTGGCCCGTAAGTTCACTCGTGAGGAGATCATCCCAGTGGCTGCCCAATACGACAAGAGCGGCGAGTACCCGTGGCCCATCATCAAGAAGGCCTGGGAGCTGGGTCTGATGAACAATCACATTCCCGCTGATCTGGGTGGCATGGATCTGGATGTGTTCACCACCTGCCTGACGGCCGAGGAGTTGGCCTATGGCTGTACCGGCATTATGACCGCCTTGGAGGCCAGTGGTCTGGGCGTAAGTGAAAAGCTATAAAAACACTCACCGAAAGATGTTCTAAGTCCTCCGTTTATAACGTAGCAAACACCTGTGATCTTGTCCGGTAACAAGGAGCAGAAGAAAAAGTATTTGGGTCGTCTGCTGGAGGAACCTCTGGTGGCCGCCTATGGTGTCACAGAGCCCGGAGCTGGATCCGATGTGAGTGGCATCAAGACTCGCGCCGAAAAGAAGGGCGACGAGTGGGTGATCAACGGCCAAAAGATGTGGATCACCAACGGTGGTGTGGCTAACTGGTATTTCGTGCTAGCCCGTACCAATCCCGATCCCAAGTGCCCGGCCAGCAAGGCCTTCACCGGCTTCATTGTGGAGCGTGATTCCCCTGGTCTAACGCCCGGTCGCAAGGAATTGAACATGGGACAGCGCGCTTCCGACACACGTGGCATCACCTTCGAGGATGTGCGTGTGCCCAAGGAGAATGTGCTGATTGGCGAGGGAGCCGGCTTTAAGATTGCCATGGGCACCTTCGACAAGACCCGTCCCCCAGTGGCCGCCGGTGCCGTGGGCCTGGCCCAACGCTGTATGGATGAGGCTCTTAAGTACGCGCTGGAGCGCAAGACCTTTGGAGTACCCATCGCTCACCATCAGGCTGTGCAGTTCATGCTGGCGGATATGGCCATCGGTGTGGAAACCTCCCGCCTTGCGTGGCGCCTGTCCGCCTGGGAAATCGACCAGGGACGCCGCAACAGCTACTACGCCTCCATCGCCAAGTGTCATGCCGCTGATATGGCTAACAAGATTGCCTCCGATGCTGTCCAGATCTTTGGCGGCAATGGCTTCAATAGCGAATATCCTGTGGAGAAGCTGATGCGTGATGCCAAGATCTATCAGATCTATGAAGGCACCTCCCAGATCCAGCGTCTCATCATCTCGCGAAACATGTACGAGGCTGCTAAGAGCAGCATGTAATGTACAATGTCCAAGGACTCCTTATCGCCGCCATTCACCTCAGCCACCCTCATGCTCATTTTTAGATCACATTCACAAAATCGATAAATAAAATAAGTAATAATTAAAAATCTAAGTTTCTTTGGGACACAAACGAAGGGATAAGTAAATTGTAAATACTTCACAGTTATCAAAAGTATCTACTAAGTTACACTCAAGTTAAATTCGAAATTCCGGTTTACCTTTTGGTTTCTACGAATCACTTACCCCAAGGGTCTAGAGTCTAGTCTTGGTCTCATCAATACCGGCTATTCTATGTCCTCACGCTTTAATATTTCACCAGCTATCATCCTCTGATAAGATAAGCCCAGCGGCCAAATAGGACTGACTGTGTGGCCCACTTAGATTGAACAATTCCGGGGTACTGAAATATAAGGCGTCTACGCAGATTTTTCGCTATATTATTGTCAAACATAAAAGAAAACTAATCTGGGGCAACAAAGTTGTTTAAACACGATGACACTTCACTTTGATTACGCTATTCCGCTTCACTCTCAAGAGCCAGAAGCTTTATAATTCCCTTGTAGCGCCTGCCATTCTTTCGTTTGTTCGACATCTTCAGCATCTTTGCTTTGTCGCCGAACTGCAGCTGCCAAATGGACTGCAGGGTCCCCAAAACTCCGGGTGTGGAGAACATCTGTTCATCAATGGTTAGTTCTAAACGTCTTGGCAGCTGTTTCTGCTCTTCAAGTTTCTGGAGACGAGAGTCATCCAGAAGATTTGTACAATTGGTGGCCAGTATTGTCCGCAGTTGAGGCAGTTCATCCAGAATATAGCCAAAGGCAGTCCCACTCAGCTTGCCATTATCACTTATATCCAGCCATTGGAGCTGCTTGGCTTTGCCCAGGTGTTGGCAAATCTTGTAAAGATGTGCATCACTTAGTCCACAGCCGGCGAGCTCCACTCGTGAAAATCGTTCGCATGTGCCACCCTCTAGAAGCGTCACCAGAAGCTCGCCCAAAGCAAAGCCACTGGCCTCGTCCAGGGGCCAGCGAACATAGCTGAGATTTAAATGCTCCAGGCGGCAACTGTTGAGCTGCTCGGTCAGCCGGCGAACGCTCTGTTGGGTGAGCTGATTGAAGCTTATATCGAAGCGGGTTAGTTGATGATAGGCCAGATCAAAGTCCTGCAACTCCGTCAGCTCACACTGGGCAATTTTTAGTGAGGTTAGGGCACGGCCTGCTGGACTGGCACAAAACTTATGCAGCATCCTTAAACTGGCATTGCCCAACGGATTTTGGCTAAGGCTCAGCTCCTCTAGGAGCTCCAGTTTATCCATGCCTTGACCGCATAGAAGAGCCTCCAATCCCTGGTATCCAATCGCATTACATTCCAATCGCAATGCCTTAAGTTGGAGTAGCGTAGGCAGGGATTTGGCCAACTGCTGGCAACCCTCGTTGCATATGAAGTTACGGGAAAGATCCAAGACTGTCAGTCTCGCCTGATGCAGGAGTGCTTTAAATACAGGCTCTGTTTGCGATGCCCGCATCCACAGACCAGAAAGTTCTAGCATCAGATTATTCTGCGAGCGTTCCAACAGTAGCTTGACTTTGTTGTCCACAGCTGTAAAACAGATTATTAGATCGATAATTAATATAAGTTAGAAGATAAAGTATAACAAATCCCACTCACTTTTCTGAACCTGATGGCACATTTCCTCGTATCTCTGCGAAAGTGGAGATATTTTCCAGTCCAGAATGGTGGCCATTAGCATGTTTTGCTCCAGAGCCACGCTAACCGGATCGGTTTCCTCGTAGGCAAAGCCATCGGCAGTCTTGAGTCTCAGAAGAGGCGTCAGGCCCGTCAACCTTAAGATTTTAATAACATTTAGAAATACGATCTAAGGCATTAATAAATTCACTTACTTGTTATAGCGCCTTCCCGCCTCTTCAGCCAGCCAGCGCATGTTGATATCTTGAAGCTTTTTCCGCTCGATCGGGACCAGCAAAAACTCATCCTGCACTTTGATTTTGAAAGACACAGTAGTGGCCAGAACGGGAGTAGTTTGTACTTTGATAGGTGACGTTTTGGACGGGGAGATGAGCACCTGAATACTCGTGGTGGTGGAGTCGGGTTCAATGGTACGCAGGCTGATTACCGAGGCCGAGCCATCATGCGAGGACTCGCTGCCAAAGGGACTCTCGCTACGGAAACGACTAAAACCGCTGTCCATGAGTGTGGCTTGATGTTTTCTCTTACTGGAAGTCGGAGCCGATGAGGCACTTTTATTGCTATTCATGCTGGAGGAGCGTGACAATGTGAGTTTCCGCATCTGCTTCTGGCGTTGGGAAGAGTCCACCTCCGGCGTAGCCTGGAGCAGATCCTCATCCCAGTTAATGGGAAGCGACAAAGTGGAGTCTTGCAGGTTCTCCTTGGAGGGGCGAGTGGAAAGACTGCCAGAGTTAATGCGCTTGCGCTTACGTTCCGGTCCCACGTCGTCTATCAGCCAGTTGTCCGCATCCACTTCGTCCTCGTCCAGAAAGGCGTTTCGTTTCTGCTTGCTGTTAGTGCTGGAAATGGGCGGATCATCGGAGAGGCGATTGGGTCTCTTCAGTTGGGCCATGACGCTCTTATACTCTTTGCTAGCACTTGGCTGAGAGGTGCTTCCAGTTTTCTTAGCTTCATATTCACTTCCCGAGCGGTTGTGCCTGAGGGATCTCCGATGACTCTCACGAAGAGCTTCTTCTTCATCCTCCTCTGCATCCGATTGGCTCAGTCTCTCGTCTCTGCTTGGTCTTTGTACATTGGAATTGGTTAGGGGACGAGCATTCCGGTCGCTACAGATGCCCACCTTGGAGAGAGTGCGTAGGAGTCGCTCTCTCAGTTGAGCATACTGAGCTTGCTCCCCGTCCACTAGCTGTGCCGTCTGACGCCACTTGTCCAGCCCGTTAATACACGTCTCATTGTAATCCGTTCGTACAGTGGCATCTGCTCCACGGTCCAGCAGGAGTTCAGCCACATCTAGGAATCCATTAGAGCAGGCATCGAAGAGCGGAGTTATGCCATCGCAGCTGGTTCCACCTTTATCGTTGATGGCCGATGCAGCACCCTTATCCAGAAGCAGCTCCACAATGTCCGGTAGCCATGGTTCGAGGCCTCATGGAGTGGCAGCCACCCAGCATGATCTCGCACATTGACCGTGTGACCCTGCTCGATGAGCCGCTTGGCCAGCTCTAGGTTGCCCGAGATACACGCCTGGTGCAGCTGCGTTTCGCCCTTGTTGTTCTTCTTAATGGTATAGGATCTGCTACCACGGGTGGCCCTCTGTGGACGTGGCTTCTCGCTCTCATCCAGATCGCTTGCATCGGAGTCGGTGAGCGTGTTCAAGTCAAAGTCATCGTCCCAATCCGGAGTATTCTGCTGCACAGTGGCCTCACCTGTTTCGGAATCCTCATCGTCATCTTCAAAACTATCTTCATGGGACAAATCAATGCCCTTGGCTTTGGCCTCCGTTTCAAGGTTTTCAACTAAAACCTGCATATTATGCTTGAGCTCCAGACGTCTCAGTCGCACCATTGCAATCTTTTCCAGCTTGGCAGAGGAGCTGCCAGCCTTCTCTGCCTGCCTGAGGGCCTTTTGGTAAATATCATGGACGGTCCAAAAGGGATGAGACTGCTGATCGCAGATTTCGGCAATGCTGCACAGAGTGGTGAAGGCCTCCGCCGGCACGTCCTGGTTCAGCTCGAACTCTTTCCACAGATACTCCAGCGCCTTGTCATACTGCCCACTGTCTCGATAGGTCTGGTAGAGACTCACATAAATGGGCACGAGACTCTTGCCACTCTCCTGATTTAGTTCCGCATTTTCCAGCATTTTTTGGTAATAAATCAAAGCCTTCTCGTAGTTCAAGAGGTGACAGCAAGCATCGCCCAGTTTCTCGTACAAGGTCTTTAATTTGGCATAGTCCACAGAGCTGGTGACCACAAGATCGTCCAGTGTCTGACAGATCTTTACCACGATCCTGAGCTGCTTCTCAATGCTTGTCCGATCGTTCTCATCCGGTGTGTTCTTCTTGTAGGCCTTCGTGAGGATCTGCTTAGCACTGGCAAAGTCACCTGCTTTTATCAAATCTCTGCCTTGGTGATTAGTGTTTCGCATATCTTCTTCACCTTGTTTGGCAGTCGTTTGGCCACTCCAAGGCCATGTTGCAGTAACGTAGTGCCGCAGTTGCATCGTTCTTCTTGCAATTGTAGAGCAAGCTCATCGAAATGTAGCACAAATGGGTGAGATCCCATAGCTCGTGGGTTTTACTGATTTTAATGGCTTTGTCGATATACTCGATAACTCTTGGAGGGCATCCATGTGTTCTTTTACCACACCGATGTTCAGATAGCAACGAGCTTGCATATCGATCTGTTCCAGCTTCGAAATCTGTCCGGAAAGTCTATAAAGTAGGTAATAAGTTATCAGGAAATTCAAACAAAGCTAGTTCTGTCTAGGAACTTACTCCTTGATAAGCAGAAGACTGCGCAGGAAGCTCTTCTCCGCCTGCTTCAGCTGTTCCATGGCCCCTGAGGCAGAACTGTCGGCCAGGCTCTGGCCATGCAACAGATGTACACGACCCAGAGTGGCATATGCCCGCTGCTCCTCCACCTGGTTCTTGAGGCGCTTGGCAATCTCTGTAGGAAAAGGTTAAGGATTCAGCTCGGGATATCTTTTTAGCTGTTTCATTCACTCACTAAGGTAGTCGTTGATGTGATCCTTGGCGGCATCATAGTCACAAAGCAGGGTGAACATCTCGCCCACCATCCGCTTGGCCTTGCCCGTCTCCAGTTCCTTGCCCATGCTGGCATAGATCTGCGCCTCCTGGACATACTCCTTGACTGCATCGGCGTACTTCCCCTGCTGGTTGTAAAAGTCACCCAACTGATTGCAGCTGATCGCCACCTGCTCCCTGTTGCCGTCACTGCGCGCCTTCTCCTTGCGCTTGAGGAATCGCCGCTCATCCATAAGACGGGACACATATAAACGAGGGACAAAGTAATAAAACAAAGATTTCACCAAAACATTGTTTTTAGCGGCGCGATCGGTGGAGCAGTGTGACCCGCGCTTTATTTGTAAAAATACTTAATTCTTAAGAATATTCACGGAATTTGGTCATACTTCAATGGTGCACATAACTTATCAGTGACTATCGATAATTGCGCCATAGCACTAAATCAAAACCGTTACTGATCTCCGATTTGAAAAGGTTTCAATCTTCTAATATTTATTTATTAAATATTAATTGGAAAATTATTATAGTTAATAATTATTATAGCCTAATTAGGTTGGTGTAGAAAGCCAAAGATTTAAAAATGGTAAAAATAAAACAAAATAAACAAGAAAGGAAGTTACTTCAAAAAGTGAAAGTGTAAGCCATTGCAATTATCAAAAGAATCATGGAAGATGTATCACTCTTATCACGATCACTATCACTATCGATGTAAACACTGGGGATGCCGCGGACAGACTGAGGCCAGCGCTACGCTAGTGCCCTGTATTTATAGTCCACGAGTCAAGAGAACAGAGAAAGTGAGAGGGAGAGAGAAAAGAAAGGGCCAGCTGCAGAGATAGGCAGAGAGTTAGGGAGAGAAAGAGCTATCTCTTGCGATTGAAAGGGCAGCTCCAGAGATAGGCAGAGGTTTAGGGAGAGAAAGAGGTATCTCTTGAGATTGCGCTCACCAATACATATTTTATTTAGAGTTTTACACTCTCAGTTTATTATTTTCCTCTACATAACGATGGTTTCGTTTCTATATAATAATAAATTAAATACGAAACTATAAAAAAATACAAAATGGCTTGACCTGAAATTAGATGAAAACATGTATAAATTAATAAAACAGTCGTCTCTTTAATGAGTATCATCTAGATACTTCAATAAATAAAAGGCTAATGATTATTACTTGATTAACTCGGTCGTTGATGTTAGTCAAGAATGTAAATACTTTATCACAGAGTTGCAAACTTATGACTTAAGTTATACTAACCTGCAAAGTTTAAAATCTTGATATGCCCATCGATGTCATAAACAAGTTATTAAATTTCCAGGTATAATATTTCGTTATTTGACGTCATATTATATGCTCTTCAGATATTTACATTAGGAATGCAAAATTAGTAAGTGGCTAAAATAAAAGAATACTTTTCGGGAACCTAATTCAAAATTCAAAACTCGTTATTTCTGCAGTTCTTTGGCCCGCTTTGTCTTTGTCACTGTGCTCGGCATTTATGTTAACAAGACTCGGTCGAAAACGGGTTAACGAAAATTAATCAAAGCCCCTGCTTTAAGCCACGGTCGGAGCGCACTTGGCGACGTTTGGCATGTTGTCAGCTTGGCCCGCCGACCAGTTGAGTGTGTGTGTCGCTGAAATTGAATTAATTTTCGTACATTTTGCATTCGCATGGGTTTATTTTTATTTTATTATCTAAATCCTATTTATATGGCTTAAGATTAATAATTCATGAGTATTTTGCCATTATGATAAACTAAGAGTATTACATCGATCAATAACACATATTTACAAAGTCTCAAAATGTCACACTAATGGAAGACCCTTAATTCTTGTTCCAATTCAGATAAACATCGAAGGCACTTTTTGGCCTAATCGAAAATGTCACACTAATGGAAGACCCTTAATTCTTGTTCCAATTCAGATAAACATCGAAGGCACTTTTTGGCCTAATCGTTGTGGTTCTATTTTGGCCAAAATCGTAGGAAAGAACGGTTTTTGCTGCTGTTTTAATTTTGTTCTCCTGATATTTTGCGTAGTATGGACTGCTGGTGGTGCTATTGCTTGGATTTGAGACGAATGTGCTGGTGGTCTTTGATTTTTGTGGTGGAGCTATGGTGGTCTTATCAAACTTGGCTTTGTATTTTTGGAAAAACGGATGATCAAAGGGATCTTTTGTGGTGGCACTCTTTTTCGTTGTTGTGGTCGAAGTGAATAGATAGGGCCTTGGTGTGGTGCTTCCTTGACGAGTTGTCGGTGCTGGGAAACGTGTGGTGGATCTTGTTATTGCAGGCTTTTGAGTTGTTGTTGGTGGTCGACGAGTAGTTGTTGTTGAACGTGTGGTTGGTGTGGAGCTTTTTTTGGATTTATTTACTTGTATGTAATGGTATGGAGATTTGGTCGTAGATCGAGTTGTTGGTGCATAACGGGGTGTGGATTTTGTTGTTGAAATTGGGCGTGTTGTTGGTAAATAAACACCTGCATAACGGGTAGAACTCTTCGTTGTTGTAGTAGTATATCGAGCTGTTGTTTTTGGCCGTGATGTAGTAATTGGTCTAAAGTTGTAATTGGTCTGGAGTTGTAATTGGTCTAAGAGTTGAAATTGGACGAGTTGTAGGTTTGATTGCTGTAGTATATCGAGTTGAAGGCGAGGGAGTTGTGTGTCTTGTTGTTGTTGAATATTGTTGGTAAGTTGTTGAACTGAATCTAATAGTTGGGCGAGTTGTTGTTATAATACGTGTAGTTGGACGAGTAGTTGGACGAGTTGTTGTACGAGTAGTTGGACGAGTTGTTGTGCGAGTAGTTGGACGAGTAGTTGGACGAGTTATTGGTCGAGAAGTTGTGCTTACAGTACCTCGAGTAGTTTTTCCAACAGTTGAATAAACACTTGGCTTATTAGTTGTAACTGATCGAGTGGGTGTTGCATATGCCGAGGCTTTGGTTGTGGCTGTGTAGCGGCTACCACTTCCCGTTATCGTGGGCTTTGACGTCGTGGTTGTTTTTCCGACAGAAGTTTGCCATGACCATAACGGCAATTTAGTTGTTTTGGCCGTAGTTGAAACTGGTTTCTTTGTGGCTAGTGTCAAGGGTCTTCCCGTGGTTGTTGTTACAGATGGCTTTGTAATACTTGTTGTACTTATGGGCTGCCTTGTACTTGACGTAGTCGTTGCTGCCGTAGAAGTGGCCGTAAACTTAATCACTTCATTGCGGAAGCTGTCGCTGCTCACATAGGGTCTGTTGACCGTCTGAGGGGGCTTAGATGGGCTCGAGCTCGAGGGCTTTGGCTTGGGCTGGGACTTGATGGGTGCTTGAGCCGGTACTATTGGTTTGCTAAGTAGACTGAGGAATGGATTCTGGGCATAGGAGAAACTGTCATGGGGCTTGGTCTCCTCGGTGGTGTGTGAGGAGATGACAGAGTGTGGGATTGAGCCTGGGGCTTTTAGGAAGGGATTGTGATCGTAGTTGGGCTTTTGGGTGTAGGAAATGGTACTAGCTTGTGTGGGAGTAGCCTCATATTTAACTACATTTGGTGAGGAATTCTTTTGGCCCTGCAAACTATTTAAAAATGGATTGGTAGCATAGAGTTTATTGCTTGGCGGTTGTTTGGGTGATGAATTTGAAATTTTATTGGTAACTTTGGTGGGTGGCACATGAGTTTGAGGTGCTTTAGCTGCTTTTAGATTTTGCAGGAAAGGATTTCCTGAATATCCTGGACTGGTGGCAATCCTATGCACTGGTTTCTCTGAATTTAGTTGATGTGGCTTTACTTGAGGCTTCTCTCCATGCGGACTGATCTTATCCGCCTCTGCAATCTCGTTTCCCTCGAAGCAGTCGCTCAGCTGGGCCAAGCTCTGACCCCGGCAGTGTCCATTGTAAACGGTCCAGGCATTAAAGCCATCTCCTGAGAGACGAGTGTGCTCCTCATGGATTGTGCGTATACATTGAACATCGTCGGAGATATCGGAATCCAACAGACGATCGCACTCGATGTGACAGGCTTTTCCACTTGTCTGGTCATGGGAGCACCAGTAAATATCGCTGATCTGGAAGAGCCCGTGATCCTCGCTTCCATCTGAGTTCAATCTTCCCACGGCTGCTGTATTAAACGAGGACTCGTGCTGGGCTATGCACACCCAAGTGGGAATCTCCTTCATGGGTAACTTATGTTTATGGTAAAGCTCCTTGGCCAGCTCACAACGACTGTAGATCTTTCCCTTTGGCTTCGAAGGAGCCTTCTTAACCAGTTCGTTGCCAGTTGATGGCTTAATCCCTGTCTGCGTTACATCTTTTCCCTCAAAGCAACTGGCTATATCGGCACGAGTTTTTTGCCTGCAGTGTAAATTGTATACAGTCCAGGCAGTAAATCCATCGCCTGAAATCCTGGTGTGCTCCTCGTGAATGGTTCGCACACACTTCACATCATCCGAGATGTCCGAGTCCAGCAGACGATTGCAGTCAATGTGACAACCCTTGCCACCGGCTCCTTGATCATGGGTGCACCAGTAGAGATCGCTGATCTGGAAGAGGCCGTGATCCGCACTCCCGTCCGCATTCAGGCGACCCACGGCTGCCGTATTGAACGAGGACTCATGCTCGGCGATGCACACCCAGGTGGCCAATTCCTGCATGGGAAACTTGTGTGAGAAATACAACTCTTGGGCTAATTCGCAGCGATTGTAAACTTTACCCGTGTGCGCTACTTTGTTTGCTGTGGTGTGATACTGTTGCTGATAGTGTGTCTGATAGTGTGCCTGATAGTGTGGCTGATAATGTGTCTGCTGCTGCTTGTAATAAAAGGGATTTGCCGGAGTCTGACCCTTGAAACCACCACCAATGGCATTGGGATGCTGCCTAGGAGGAGAGGGAGCAGCCACAACCACGGGAGCTGTGGGAAGACGTGGCCGGAGGAAGGGATTTCCCTGATAGGCAGCCACATTGGTCACCTCACCTTGTTGGTGGCTCACAAATGACGTAGCTGGTCGATAGTATTGATTAACGGCGGGCGCAGGACTTTGCTGCTGCACTTGCACCTGTCCAAACTGATACGCATAGCTGACCTTTGGCTTGACAGGACCTCCTCCGATGGCATTCGGATGAAGATGATGATGAGGATGATGCTGAGGAGCTGGTGGCTTGGCAAAGCAGGCAGCCACTTGTTCGTAGTGCTGATTGAGGCAGTTCCTTTTGTACACTGTCCAGGCATTGAAGCCATCACCAGAGATTTGAGTATGTTCCTGATGGATCCTCCTTATGCACTGCACATCATCGACTATGTTGGAGTCCAGGAATTGGTTGCAGGTGGCCTGACATCCTTTACCAGGACGCTGGTCATGGGTACACCAGAAGAGATCGCTAATCTGGAAGAGTCCATGGTCCGCACTGCCATCGGCATTAAGGCGACCCACGGCAGCTGTGTTAAAGGAGGACTCATGCTGGGCTATGCACACCCAGGTGGGGATCTGAGGCATTGGAAGTTTGTGCTGATAATACAGCTCCTGAGCCAGTTCACAGCGATTGTAGATTTTTCCCTGGACTTGGGTTTGGGCCACCTGATGATAGTTGTTAGTTGATGCCACCTGATGGTAATGATTCACTGGCGCTTGGAAGCTGTTCACCTGAACCTGCTGGGGTTTATGGTAGGAAGCAGCCACCGAGAGTGCTGTATTAACGCCACCACATCCTGCCACATATGATGCCGCATCCTGGCGACAGTAGGCGCCATAGGCCTGCCAAGCAGTGAATCCATCTCCACTGATCCTTTGATGCTCCGCATAGATCTTCCTCACACATAGGACATCATCGGCTATGTCATCGTCCCGTAGACTCGCACAATTCAGACCACAACCTTTGCCCTGACCAGGAGGTGAGCACCAATACACATCACTGATTTGGAAGAGACCATGTGATCCTCCTCCCAGTCCTGTGCCACCGCCAAAGGCAGCCGTATTCAGATCACTCGAATGCTGGGCAATGCACACCAAAGTGGCCACCTGGGCAGCAGGAAGTCCAAAACGATGCTGCAGGGAATGGGCCAGCTCACAACGATCAAAGATCTTGGCCGAGGCCAGGAGCGGAAGCAGTAGGATTACCTGCCACCACCACATCTTGCTCTACTCTGACACTCCCAAGCACAAAACTAACACTCTTATATAGAACACAAAAAGAGAGAGATCACACTGAGAACTGGAGCAAGATCCTTAGGTCATTTAAAATTCAAATTCTCCAGCAGCAGTCACTTTTGAGCGCGTGTCGCTTTTTTAGCGATTTATATTCGCAGTGGTTTTGTATTTTGTTTTTTGTTTTACAGCTGGACTGTGTGCGTTTGCGCGTTTCGTTGACGACTGAAATCTCCGGCGGTCGCATCTTCAGCCCAAAGTCAATTTGAATATGACGACGACGGCGACGACGACTGGACGGCCGAGCGAGACAAACTGGTTGCTCGGGGTCTCTGGGCTATTGTGGATATTGCATAATTACGGCGGACACAACAAAAAAAAAAGAAAAAATTAATAAAAAGGTTCTCCGACACAGAACCCAAAAAGATTGGTCAGAAATCTGTTAGGAAAGAACATGTCGAATTGGCCATTAAATTGGCTAGAAAGTTCTGCATTTGCCGGGCCATTAGCTGCTCATTTGCCTGATGGAATTAATTTGAAATATTTATGGGACAGAGAGCGCTTCCCCTTCCCAGCTTCCCCAGCTCGAGCGGTTTTCACGCGTTTTTAATCGCCTCGTAAGTCTCAATCAAGAAATCGACAGATGCGATTCGCGGCTGTCAATCAATCCGAGGCGGCCCCACCCCTCCACACACAGGCAGAGTGTCTCAATCACATTGTAATGCAAACAACACCTTGGCTCGGTTGAAATACTTTTGTTTGCATCTCTCGGACTTGGCCAATAGCTATAGTTTGTGATTTATTTTAGCCACCGTTGCCTAAGTTTGAAACAGAGCTTAGCTTCGTGGATAGACGATTTGATGCAATATAAACTGTGCTTTAATTGCCGCTTTTCGTGTGCAAATTGCTTGCTGGGCTCCGCTGATTGATTAATACCCGGGTTCCCTCATTAACTGGTCTTGAACTTGAGTCATTGCCAAAAAGAAGGGAGGCGGCAGATGGACCAAGGTTTTAACTATGCAAAGTGCTTTTTGTGGTTAGCATTGATTTTTGATTTAGAAGTCCGCAGAAAGAAAGAAAAAAAAACCCTAATGAAATGCGCAAGCAATTTTTTCTAGGCATCTTTGACATTTTAGGCTTAAATATTTAACTAATTAAAGCCATGCGCATAGAAATTCCTCTTCCCAGAATCATTATATTATATATATAATCCTTAAATAAATTCCTGAAATTGGTAGCATATTCTTGTTAAAGAACCACAAATAATTCCTTGAATCATTAAGCCTCAAATTAAAACAACTTTTGCATCGTATGTAGTAGTTTTTCTTGTTTTTTTGTTTCTTTTAGTAAACGCTAAATCACAATACAATAGAATCACATTTAAAAAATAAATTATATACAAATTCGTAGACAAAAACTGCATGCGTGTGTGTTACATTCATAATTATCATAATAGTATAACAATAACATTTATACAAAGCACTCGATAACAAATATATATATATATATATCTATGGTTAATATCTTACTTTACAGGGGGCTCTTCGACACGCCCCCTTTGATAGATATAGTAAAGCAGACTTAAAACTGCCACGCCTATGCCACCGCATAAGGTACCCCAGTGGACAATATTGAGGGTTTTTAAGGAATTGATTAACTTCTTTTTGAAGAAGGCCACCATTTCGCTATTGAGTTGGATGCCCTGAAAAAATATTGTAAATATTTAGATTTTAAAATGTTAACTAACTAAAAATATAACTAACCTCTTCAACCCAAATGGCTGGCATTAAAACTGTGGGTAGGTTTTCTGTGATGGTTATTCGATTGATGCTCTTGAGGAACATATTGAACTGCACCCTTTTGCCGCCTTGTAAGGGTGTTCCTGTCAGCTAATGGATAACCAATAATAATCCTCATTAAAAAACCTATTTCAGGCTATAACTATATATATTACTTACCGACTGAACATCGACAAAAGTCTGATGCTTTTTGGCATCTGGCTTCAATCCTCGAATCATTTTTCGATACTCATTCGAGGCGCCCAGCATGTGAGGCAATGTCAAAATCACAGGGGCATCTATATTGGGATGACAATAAATGTACATATAGAAATATTAAATATACATTAAATAAAAGCTCCTCCTTGATTAGCATAACCAGCTCACTGCATTCCATTTTAATTATTCTGTTTACATTACAAAGATAATTTCAACCAAAAAAAAAAGAATGAAACTGGATTCTGTGACCTTAGCTGACTGTTGCTACTTACATTTAATTTAATTAAATTAATTGGAAAATATTTAACAAAAAGTCTGCCAAGTTGCGGAAGCTTCTTAGGCTCTCGTCACGTTTTCGCAGAACAACATTTATTTATTTATTTACTTAACTACTTGTGATGGCTTTGATGTGCGGCTGAACCAATTTGTAAGAATTTCCTCATCAGAATCAGACAAAATATTTCAAATGCTCATTACTGAAACTGTTAACTCACGTTTCGACAATTAAACAAAAAAGAATAACGACGAAAAGGAGGCATTGCCAAAAGCATCTCAAGATTGAAACGTGCGCGATCGGCAAACACCCAAGCAAAAAAAAAAGGTATAGAAAAAAAGAATAAATATTATAATAAAAATCCAAGTTAATGCTTCAATTTGTAGAGCGTTCACAGCACTCGAGAACATCATAATGAAGAGCGGCTCATTATATCCCGAAGACAACACTTTTGATTTCAAATGCGCAATGCCCCCGGGCGGGAATCTCATCCCAGAATGCGAAGCAAAACGAACTCGAGTGTTAATTAAGAAATTAAACAATCGAAGAAGATCAAAGCCAGCCCACACAGATTCGCAATCGGAATCCGAATCTGAATCTGACTCTTAATCAAAGTCCCAGCGAAAAGCGATTGCAATTTGTCAGATATCTGAAAATCTTCCATTTAAAATTCGATTCGGAGTCGGTTTTTATATCATTCGAGTTCTAGTTTATGGCTGTCCAGCACTTAATTAAACATTGATTAGCTGCGACATTTGATGCCTTCAGTTTGCACTTCTCTCAAGCTAGAGGAATTTGCATGAAAAACACATTTAAATCCAAACTAGAACTCGCACCATGATTAACCATTTGATTCATAAGTGGGCTGCCTTATAATTACTTTGGTAATCGACCACGAACCGATGACAGAGACGAGGGTTGTTTAAAGGTGTCTTCTGGTCTTCTGGCCACATCGCATTGAGTGTCCGGTTAATCGCCATAAAACAAACACACAACATAAAAGAGGCTCATTTGCATAACAAAATACCAAGAGAAAAAAAATGTCAAAAATTATTCCAAATATTTCCGGTTTGCGTGTCGATTTGATCACTTAAATTCTACAATATTTTGAAAGTTCATTGTTTTGTTTTGCCTCAGCTGTATTATTTTTAGTCGTGACCAAATGGTAGCTGTAGTATTCTATTGCCCCAATTAATGATAAAGCTTATATTGAATTTGATCGAGCAATCGTTAATATTTGAGTTAAGTGTTCACAAAATCACAAAATAACAAACAAACTGTCAAATAGCTAAACTATCGACATAAATAAAATGCTAATTAAATTAAATCAGTATTATTCCGGCCAAAAACAAAATGGATATGAAGGTTTGGCCAGCTTCGAATATAATTATTAATACTCTAACGAAATTCAAAGAAACGAACGCTTTGGGGATTTATCTTGAAGAATTGGAATTATGGGAGCAAGTGTTGTTTTTCTGTTGAATTTATTCAAGGGAATCCCCCTACATTTTAGAAATCAATTCTCATTCTAAGCAATTGAATACCTCGTATGTATTTATTTACAGGTTCTTGTATTTTAAATAAAGTATAAAATCAGAATATTCTGTTAATTTATATATTTCTAAATTATAAAATCAATATTTCTGGCTGCAAGTTTAAACTAATATGCTTTTCTTGACTTCACTATAATTATAAATACGCGACACAGAAGTCTTTGATCTACTAAATTTATGGTAATTCATTTGAATTGCTAATTTTGCTTAATACTGTGAAATAACATGAGGAACTAAAGATAAGCGGAAGATAACATAACTTAAGTGTAAATATTTTCCGAATGTTTTGTCAGGTGTTGAGCTGGTTAAATGTAAACTATTTAATATTTAGATGTGATAGATAAATTTTTAATTGGGAAAACAATAGCGGAAAATTAAAGATAAGTAGCTGTTTGAAGTTTTTGAAGTAGAAATTAATTAATATATTTATATATATATAAACTATTGTTTCCTGGTAATCTCAATAAATATTTGGGGGTCCAATGGAAGAAACAAAGATGCAAAATTGTCACCATTTTTGTATACACTATATTACAGTGTATAAAAAACTCGTACGGTAGCTCAAATATGCCATTGCATACTCTTAGAAACCTTTTCGAAAGGTTTAAGACCTCAAGTGGTTTCTGAAGAACCTTAGATCTTTTTAATTTTGATAATTTCAATATCTCAACTCACCCAAACATGTGGTTAAATCCAAAGCACCCGCATATAGACATCCATTCTTGCGTTTAATCACATTTGCCAATTTGTCCACACAAAAGCATTCATTATCATGTTCCGGTCCAATGTCATTGATAAAGTTCTCCCCGATGGAGTATCTATAGCCAGGTATCCCCTGGTATTGGATATCTGATTGATAGAACAACTGCACCGATCTGCAGATATCCGCGCTAAAGATATACATGGAATCCCCTCGCTGGCGAAAGGGTGGATATGCCGAGGCATCTGTTCCATTGATCTGATTGCACACGGAGGTCTCTCCCTCTGTGCTGGCATTGAGCCACACCTGAAGGTTGTGGGAATCATCCAGTTTCTGGATCTCCAGCACTCGCATGGCATCACCCTTGCCAGTGTGTACCTCATAGACATCGTGACCAGAACCATTTTTCTGCAAGAACATTAAATTTTAAAATGCATTTTTATATTTTAAAAGATTATACTCACATGTCCGAAGAAGGAAAAGGCCAGGCTGCCATCGCTTTGCTCTCGTATGGTCTTGGAGCCACTTTCCTTGATCTGATTACAAATGGCCTTGGCAATTCCTTGGGGATTTATGCAGAAACGCACTCCATCAAACAGATATTCCCTCACAGAAGTCTGAACAAACATGGAGCGGGGATCATTGAAGACAGCCTTCAAATTGGCATTCAAATGGACCAAAAGTAAGGCCAAGCCAGGATCATTCTCTGATATTTGCAGGACAGACTGTAAGAAAAGGAAAATTGTAAAGAAACAAAGTTAATTGAAGAAGATACACCGAGTTAAGTCCAAAGCCAGTAGGAAAATCGAAGTAGTATTTTAACATTTAAATAGTTAAAAAGCATTAGCAGCAGGCGGGGCAGTTAGCCATAAATTAGTAGCAAAGCGCAAGCTCAAATTTGTTATTATTAATTATGTTTCTTTTTTTTGCGTTTGATGTGTATCCGAGAAGTATGTGTGAAAATTGATGTTTCCAATCGTTCGGTTTTCAGCTGCCGTTTCCATTGATTTCTCCTCGACTCCGACAATTTATCAAAATATTTACATAGACGGGGAGAGAGAAGTCACAGACCCAAGGTGAATGCCAATCAAAATTTTTGCTGTTCTACGAATAAGCACTCTCGGTATCTTTGCTGGATGTGGATGATCTTGACTTTGGCAGTTTGAAGTTGATGTTTTTAGTTTTCTGAGTTTTCAGTTGAAGCTGCGACCAATTGCAATCAATGATTATAATTAAACAGTTGCAAAGCTGTCAGCGGTGGAGGAGAGGCTATTTAACTTACTTTGACACCATCGATAAGGCTGATCATGATGCCCTCTACCCAGCTGATGGGCGCTATAAGTTTGGGGGTCGTTAAATTGAATTTATTAATCATATGAAATCGTTTTTATAATATCTCATTCAACCGAAATCTCAGATGGTGTTAAGAGATGACAGTTTTTTAGGGGGAAAAAATAATTTATTACATTGGTTTTATCTTACATATTGATATGTAAACATGGGAAGGTCTCCCAAACTAATCGTTGTTGTCTTTTTTATGAATAAATATATAAATATCAGTCTTTAAAATGAATCAAATAAATTATTAAGTGATAACATGATGGCTTTATTTGATTTTGAAACATTGTAAATCAAATAATTGAAGCTTAAAGTTCTGCCAACTTTTATTGATAATTTTATAACTTATTAAACAAAATTATTAATTAATAACTATTATTTATTACAAAATCCCTACTACAATTGAATATTAAAATGATTCTCCCCCAATTCCTGACCTAACCCAATCCCAGAAATATTAAGTTGCCCGAATCGTCGCAATAAATCAGCAATAAAAAAATTCATCAACTTAATTGCTTATAAATACTATATCCAAAAGATACTCATACAAGCAATGACGCACCTCTGGGGTAAAATCATAATTAATAAACAATAAAGGGAAACCCGGTCGAAATAAAAGGCATAATAAATCGGTTGAAATCGCTGGCTCCGAAAAGCAGAACAAAGACAAATATCGCTTTGTTTGTTCCATCGGAAAATCGTAAAAAGCCATTACCATTAAGTTAAATCTACCAAGGCATGCTAGTGTGTAAATCTTTGCATAGACAAAGCCAATGCAATAGAGATACAGATATAGATACTATACAGATCAGACCATCACCGATTTGGGGGGCTATTCTCCATTAAATTAGTAGTGGATAAAATTACTTTACGTTTCCCTCGAATACGTTCCATCAATCGTTTAAGGACTCGCACGCCAGGAGTTTGATTCAATCGCGAGTTGAGCCGATTGGCAAAACCCTGAAATATATCTGTGATTTCTCTTTCGAATACTTGTAAGAATGCCTGCAAATTGATTATTAAAATGGTTTAGTTTCTTTTCTTTTCTTTTTTTAGGGATATATAACTATTTAGGAATTTATACAATATATTTTCCTACTCACATTCATGTGCATATTGAGGGCCACAATGCGATCGTCTTGGGTGTAGGGTGCCGAGGCATCTGCATCAAAATCAAAGTGCACATTTTGTACATAGGAGATCTTGGAGCCATCCCTGGAGAAATGCTTCACTTTCTTTTGCCTGAATTGCCTGAGGATATTGTTAAATATATTAGAATATTTCTGAAGTATTGAAGATATTTTATTCAAACTCACTTGTATACATAGGGTCCTATTTCCTCGACTATGGGTATGGCACCTTGTTGTATCCTATCCGGATTGGTCACATTGAATATGTAGACTTTGAAGTTTAACGGCTGAGGCAGATTCACAAAACGTTTGTATTGTTCCGATCCATCGGCTATAATAACACTCTGTGAATAAAAGCAAAAGAGAAACAAATAATTAAAACAATTCATTCATAAATACTTAATAATATTCATATCAATGAATATATAATATATTCTGTTGCATGAATCTAATAATAAATATAATAAATATTCCGTTTAAGTCTTAAATCAATGCTAAATTCAAGACTATAAATATATGCTTAAACTTTAATTCTGTGGAAGTAACTTTAATAAAATTTACAAAAATATAAGAATAAGTATTTATTTAATGTAACAAAAGTATTTAAACCGTCTTAACCTCGACTTAAGTCATTTTTAATAGACTTAATCCCTAAAGCTGACTGTCTGACGAATTCTTATTGGTTTATTAAGAATTTTATCTATTTTTTATTAAGCTTTACTTAAGTGCAACAAGTTTAGGGCATTTATTTATCGAACCACATTTTAAGGTTGTTTATCACACGACTTAGTCGCGTATTTATGACATTTAATGACGCCGTGGAGTTAATAAAAATAAAATTAAAAATAAAATAAATAAAACTGAGCTAAATCTAAACCTGTTTTCGTTTTAAAGAAAATATTTGCCTTAAAATTGCAGCTTCTATTGTTATACCCTTGCAGGGTATTATGATTTCAGTCAGAAGTTTGCAACGCACTGAAGGAGACACCTCCAACTATATAAAGTATATTCTTGATCAGGATCAACAGTATATATATTCTTGATCAGGATCAACAGCCGAGTCGATCTAGCCATGTCCGTCTGTCCGTCTGTTCGTTTCTACGCAGACTAGTCTCTCAGTTTTGTAGCTATCTGAATGAAACTTTGCAGTTAGCCTTCTATATACTCTCACTCGTATATATGTCGGATCGGAGGACTATAGCATATAGCTACCATAGAAATGATCGAAAAATTGTTACAAAACAAATTATAACATTTTCAGTTTTTAACAAAATTTAATGAAATTTGAGATATAGCCGTTTCATATTGTTCTACAATTTTGTGTAAAATTTTATGAAAATCGGACTAATATATCATATAGCTCCCATAGGAACGGTCGAGAAATTTGAGAGGACTGAGAATCACGTTATCTGTTGTCGGAAGACTGACAATCGCGATGGCGATAACATTTTCAGTTTTCAACAGAATTTAATGAAATTTGAGATATAGCCATTTTATATTATTCTACAATTTTGTGTAAAATTTCATGAAAATCGGACTAATATATCATATAGCTCCCATAGGAACGAACGAGAAATTTGAGAGGACTGAGAATGGCGGTAGCTATTGTTGGAAGACTGACAATCGCGCTGGCGATAACATTTTCAGTTTTCAACAGAATTTAATCAAATTTGAGATATAGTCATTTTATATTATTCTACAATTTTGTGCAAAATTGTATGAAAATCGGACTAATATATCATATAGCTCCCATAGGAACGGTCGAGAAATTTGAGAGGACTGAGAATCACGTTATCTGTTGTCGGAAGACTGACAATCGCGATGGCGATAACATTTTCAGTTTTCAACAGAATTTAATCAAATTTGAGATATAGATATTTAATATTATTCTACAAATTTGTGGAAAATTTTATCAAAATCGGACTAATATATCATATAGCTCCCATAGGAACGATAGAGAAATTTGAGAGGACTGAGAATGGCGGTAGCTGTTGTCGGAAGACTGACAATCGCCGTGGCGATAACATTTTCAGTTTTCAACAGAATTTAATCAAATTTGAGATATAGATATTTAATATTATTCTACAAATTTGTGGAAAATTTTATCAAAATCGGACTAATATATCATGTAGCTCCCATAGGAACGATCGAGAAATTTGAGAGGACTGAGAATGGCGGTAGCTGTTGTCGGAAGACTGACAATCGCGCTGGCGATAACATTTTTAGTTTTCAACAGAATTTAATCAAATTTGAGATATAGATATTTAATATTATTCTACAAATTTGTGGAAAATTTTATCAAAATCGGACTAATATATCATGTAGCTCCCATAGGAACGATCGAGAAATTTGAGAGGACTGAGAATGGCGGTGGCTGTTGTCGGAAGACTGACAATCGCGCTGGCGATAACATTTTCAGTTTTCAACTGAATTTAATCAAATTTGAGATATAGCCATTTTATATTATTCTACAATTTTATGTAAAATTTCATGAAAATCGGACTACTAAATCATATAGGTGCCATACAAACGATCGTTAGATGTGGAGGGCAAATGCAAATCTGTGAATGTAAAACTGCAAATATAATATGTATAGGTGAATGAAATGATATATTGTATGGATTCCTAGTCATCGAAGTTCTATCTGCAAGGGTATATAAGCTTCGGCGTGTCGAAGTTAGCTTCCTTTCTTGTTTTTTTTTCGCACCAATTATAATTGATAATTATCAGCAGACTAATGAGATCAATGACCAAGTAAAATATTTGCATTGATTTTGCATTTGATCAAAACAAATATATATTAATTAAGGTGCGATTCTGTGATTCCCATGCCACAAAAAAGTAATCTCCAGTTAACCTTGCATTTGAATTTTTACAACTCAGTAGCCAGACAAAATATTTACGAGTACGATTCACAGAGATAAATAAATTGGCAAAACATAAAAAGGCCCACCGAGAGCCATAAATAAAAGCAACTAAAAACAAGTTCAAAACATGACCAGCAGTATAATTTTATGCTCTGGCCCCTCGCACTTGATACAATTGAAGAATTGTCAAAATAAAAAAGAAAAAATAAATAAACACACACAAATCTTTTTTGTATGACTAAGACAGATTTCAAGGTCAATGCACACGCAGGTCGGTTCACCTGAGCCATATCGAAGAGCATACAAAACGTTTGATTAACCTCAAGAGCCGAAGAGAGACTGACAATGGCCCGATATTCATTCAGTAAGAAATACGAATAATTGTTGCGAAATAGAGCGATTTTTATATTTTTGGCAAAGCTACAAGTCTAAAAGACGAGCTGGAACGTGTACAAAATTTAAAATGTGGCAGCGGGCTTGAAATTTTGGTCAAGAATGTGATGGGTCAAAGGGGCGTATGCGTAACCATCTAGGCTAAATGGAGAAGGGTTGACGAACATTAAAAAAGATACTTATGTATCTACAAGGTAGTTTCAGAGAGTACACATAAGATTTAATTTAAAATTATAAGATTACAGTCTAAAAGGAGTATGGGTTTAGGTTGAATAGTATTTAGTTAACAAGGTAGGGTTATAAGAAGCGTCTAAATAACATAACTTATAAGAATATAATAAAATATACCTCAGAATCATGGTAAAAAACCTTTATTGCTAAATGCTCAAATTAAACTCATAAAAACTATCTGTTGCCTCTTGGTTGGCATTGCTTTCGGGCCAAATTGCATAACCACTTCGGTTGACCATCGAAAACGACTTCAATTGCTTTGAATTTCAATTTCAATTTCAATTCATATCGCGTTCGTTCGCTCCTCCGGCTTTTGTCTTTAGATATTTTTCTTTAGCGCCTGCATTTGAATTCCAAATAGAAATGGTTTATGTGCAAAGGGACGGGGCACCTTCAAGTTGAAGGTTCCACCAATTTCGAGGGTCGGGTCTGCAGACCATTCTAGATTCGATCTTTAAAAGCGTACACACGGAAGTTCATTGCTAACTATATCGCTCGTAAAAATAAGAGTCGTTTTTCGGTGCTAAGTTATGGGTGGCAAACAAAGTTCCAGGGGCAAGCCAAAAGCCACACAAACAAACAAAAAAAGGGCTATTAACTAAACTTAGCTACAACAATTAAAAAAGAGCAAACCCAAATACACGGCCGCCGCAACTTAGAGTTTCTGTTTGCATTCTAATTACAATAAAAACAAGAAAAAAACAAAACCAAAGCCTAGCTCAAAGTCAACTCAAGTACTTCTAGTTGCCTTGGCAATGAGCTCTGAAGATGTCACGCCCGATTCAGTAGTGAGCGTGTGCCTAGCGATGGGAGCGTTATTCTCTAGGCTGCAGCGTGACTCTTGAAAAAAGCTATATACCATATTACCTCGAAGTTAAAGTTAAGTGCCGAAAAAGAATCAAGTTTTGGGCTTAATTTGCAACCAAGGATTGAGCTAAGTAATCAAGGCAAAGCATGTTTTATTTAAATATGTTGTTATTATAAAACGTTATTCTAGCAGAGGTATAAACAATCTTTTCGAATTAAACTTGGTAAATCCTTCTAATAAAAACCTTTGCTTGATAGCTATAACATTTATTTTTAAAGCTTAAACCAATCAAAAACTTTGACAAAATAATGTTTTAATAGCTTCAAGCCTAAAGTAAAATATAAGATTACTATCTTGCACTATAATTTCTTTAGATCTGCAATGAAAATGCAACTAATTTTAATTCAAATTTATATAGCTCACAGACCGCACTCACAGGCATTAAATGATTATGATGGGATCAAGTTTAGCATGCTCTTTCTTAACCTTTTGTCCCCCCTCATTGTAAGTTTGTTTTTGCAGGTACACAATGTCATGCTTTTTAACTGGGTCGTAAATAAAATGCGTAGAAGGACAAGAACATGCATCGTAATTCAAGTATTTGCTTTTGGCTCTAATGGCTTGGAAAATCCAATAATAATAAAGTGCATTTGCCGAGCAAATTAATTCGCATTGCTCATGGCATTTCAATTGCATTTGCATTTGGCATTCGTTGGAAGCGTGACCCAAGGGATCGATTCGGTTTTCGCTTTCGAGCCTCTGGGACAATGTCTATGTAATTAGTTCGTGTCATATTTGGATATTAAATATATATATTTTGTGGGATATGTGATATGCGATGCTATTGCAGTTGTTTGAACACTAATTATACTTGTTACAGAGCGCGGAAAGCGATGGTTTGAGGGCTGACAGCTGCCGGTGTATAAGCCCAGCGATGTCATTACGGATAAGGTGGATAATGTCGGGTTTTCGTGACACACCCACACTCTATATAATACATACACATAGTTTATAGATTACTATATTCAGATTCTATAAGCCCTTGAATAACCCTAGACATCAAGTAATTAAGAAAATTATAAAGAAAGAGCACTTGATTATGTAGATGAGCTATGATATTCAAGGAAACTAGTTTCATGTTCTTATTAATTAATTAAAATAGGTAGCTAAATTCTAACAACATTAATAATGCCTGATTCATTACTTTGTACTCTGAACTTTCTTTGACTCATCATGACTTTTACTAACTTTAATTCTATTTGCCTTTTCAATGACTGCTTTTGTTTTCCTTTTGCCACTTTTTTTCAGTCAGCAAAAAAGTCAACAATAGAATCATTTTTTTGCCCTTTGTTTGTTCAGTGAGAGAAAATATCTGTACGAACTTGGGAATCTAAATATTTGAGTAAACGAAACTTTGACAAGTTTCTAATGAAAGGTGGGTTTTGTTGTCATAAAGATGATGGGTTTAAGAGAAAAAATACACAGTATTTAACAATTTGTTTTCTTCTAAATAAATAAAGTACTATGAGTCATAACGATCTAACAATGATTATAAATATATTTTTGAATATACTTTTGAATACTTGTTTAAAATAATAAATACTAAGGATGAAATAGTAAGAATTCTAATGATCTAACAATGATTGAAATAATAATAATATAAACAACATTTTTGAATACTCCTTAAATATTATATATTGGGTTTAATGCAATAAATTCTTTATATCTTCTAATGAATTAAAAGAATCAATTTGTAGTATTTAACTTATGTTTGTAGGTTAATAAAGAACCATGAAACATAATGATTTAACAACGATTAGAATAGTATTTAAACTGATTTATTTATACTCCTTAAACAATATTTATGCTTTTAAAATAATAAATTCTTAATATATAATAATAATGATTTCTTCTTGATTTCATTTACTTATCTCATTGGTTCTTGTCAACATCTTTTACTTTCCTATCCTATAATATTCCTAAATACAAAAATAATAATAAGAAGTTCCTCTAACGAAGAAATTATCAAATATCTCGTAAAAATTTCCTATTTGCTTAAAAGTAAGCCATTTATATTTATTCTTCCTCTGCTATATTGCATTACAATCATTTACAAACCCCGACCGGTATTGGGAACAAGGCCTTGTGCATATATTTGAAAAAATCTTGCAATTTCGTATAAATTCCACTTGACCCAAAGCACTCACCTGTTCCACCTTCTTGTGCACCATGCTGGGGAAGAGAACCCATCCACAGTAGCCGCCCAAGGCGGACACACAGATGCCCAAGGCACTGACGATGAGGGACCAGTGAAGCATCTTTTTTAACGGAGATCGATGGAACCTATGGAGATGAGATGAGAAGACCCATTTAATGGGTTCTCTTCTTTTGCCAGGGGAATCTCTCTTCAATCAGCTGCCACAAAATGCCGGCAACAGGTATATGTTTGTACCTGTATTTTTTTATTATATTTCTTTTCAATCAAGTGGAGCTTTGGCCTGACCTACGTCAAGAGAGAGAGAGCCCCTCGTCTGCGGTTTATGTTTTAGGTGTCGATCTCGAAACAAAGCGCACTATTTATACGATACCCGTTTTTTTCGGGTGGGCTTTTTTTTATATTTGTGTGTTTGTTATATATAATTTTGAAATAAACAAGTTGCCGAATGCGATGCGATGCCGTCGTTTTACTATATATCTTATTATGTCCCTTATAGTAGGAGCAGCAGCTTTATACACCACATACATGTATGTGCAAGTTGAAAATATGAAAACGGGTTTCGCCGCTGCCTTGTGTTGCAGTGAAAGCTTTTTTCTGCCATCAGCTGGTATAATTAAAATATTTTTGTTAATTTTTTGTTATTTGCTTATATTTGCTTAATTAGGTCGAGTCACAAATTCACACGCGAACACACACAAATAGTTGAGAGAGAAAAGGAGAATATAAGCTCTTCTCCATTGAGACACCGCTGCCCAAATGACACCTGATGGTTAATTGTGCTGCATATTTATTCGATTCTCGGTTAACGTAAGCCAACTTGGCCGGAAAACTAGTGTTGCCTCTAATAGTAGTGGGTGGCTTTTCGTTGCGATTAAATCAGTTGTGCACACATTCAAATTAATGGCGGCACGCCAACCGGGAGCGGGAATGGGAAAACTTCCGCCGCAAAGCGGCAAAAAGTGAATCAGCAGAATTAAATATAAAAAAACACCAACGAATTTCCAGCGTACTTGAGTAATTGAGTCGTTTGAAGTAAGTTTTACGATTTTATTGGAAGTGTGTTTAGGTATTTTTCCGCGACCCCCGGAGACTCTTTTTTTTCAGTAAGCAACGAACGCAACGCTCTGAACAACCGCTGACGACTGGCAGCAGGGTTCAGGCCAAGCTGTGATGACAATGCTGTGACTTATGGCTTTCGGCATCAAGTCACCAATGTAGGTTGTAGTTGTAGTTGTCTTGGCCAAAAGCCCTAAGCCACCGATCGCCGCAGAGAGCCGGTGCTCGAAGAGCGCATGCGCAACGCTCGCTGAGCTTGTCCGAGGGCTTTTTTTTAGCGCCGATGAGCAACGCGTTTTCAGTTAGTTAGTTTGCTCGACTTTTTTTCTCCAGCTTTTGTAATATTTACTTACATCTTTATATTTCATTTAAATTATGGATGAACTCATTAGCAAATTAGTGCAAGTTTTTTATCTGTCTACCATTTTTTCGCTATAATTGTTTTGGCCAAATTGGGAGCTCCGTTTGGCAGAGTGGCGAAGAGTGGTAGAGTTGACCCTGGAGAGAGGGTTCCTGTCCTGGTCTTATCTGGCATCGAAAAGTGCTAATGATGAACTTTGTTTAATTACTAAAATTTGGTTATGGATTTACTACATTAGGGTCATAAAAGATTAGCCTTTGATTGCTTGGGGAAGGTCTCAAAAGGGGGTAATGCCATTATGGCTATATTTCATTTCTAGAAAGGATTTGTATTTCGACTCATCCTCATAGGAAATTAGGAATCTATATATCAAGATGAGGGATTTTGTACAATAAAATTAGGGCAAATACTTTGATATATACATATTTAATTTTACTAATGTAATATACATATATAATATAAGAAGTATAATTTTTGCTTAAATTGTTTCGATAAAATTTTTAACCTATTTATTACTCTTACTATAAAATATTTCGGTATACTTATGTTCAACACAATTCTTCAACTTGAATATTTTTTAGATTGTTTAATATATTCGATATTTAAAGACAAAAATTTACTGTACTTTTTAATATTTTTGGATATTAGCTTATGTGATAAAATGGATTATAATTTAATTATTAATTTTTGTCATTGACTATTCAAATAAATAAACTCAGAACTCTTTACCAAATTTCAATAAATTATCAGGTCCTTAATTCAGACTTCAATAATTTCCCCATTGTTGTTATACAAGTAGTTTATATTTTATGGAACTGTTTAAGTATTGTAGTTTATGGTTTTATTTCTGAAGAAATTTGTCCAAATTCCAGTCTTAATTTGTTAAATTTTCTCTAAATAATTCAACCCCTTGATCCACTTAAATCTCTTTCAAACTATCTTCTCTTTTCGTCTTAGTTTTACCTCCAAAAACCACTCTTTAAGTGTCTCTTTGAAGTTTCTCTCTTTTTTTTCGCTGAAGCTCGCGTGGGTGCAATTCCCTTCCCTGCGGCTTCCACTATTTTTTGTATTTTTGGGCAAACGCATTAACAGGTTTTTTTTAGAGTCTTCTGTGCGTGCCGTGAAATTTATATGTAAAAACTTGTAAGACAACAGCAACAAAAAACAAAAACAAAAACAATTGCGATTGGATCGAGCTGCGGGTGAAGCTTTTGTTGAACTTGACACGATTGTTGTCCATTCAGTTTTTGGTCTGTGGTCTGTTTTTTGTTGCTGTCGTTCTTCGCATAAATTGCCTTTCGTTGCGGATATTTTTCAGGCGCTTTTGTTGTCTTGAATATTGTGCAAAAACTGTAAAGCTTTAAATATTAAAAAAACACACACAAAAAAGAAAGATGTAGAGGCTTTTAGTTAGTGAATTATAGAAAAGAAGTACCGAGAGATTTCCAGAAATTACTTAGGCCTAAATAAGGAGTATTATTACCCAGATTATAACACAATACTTTAGTTCTAGATTTAAAATCATCCTTCAAATACTTGTCCCATACTTTCTACTTATTTACTCCACAAGTAAATACATTTGTTTACTCATTTCTTACCTTAAATATTCATTTAAATACCTGTAACACTTTTCCCAAACCAAATTCCATTGCCAATTCCCTTGCTTTTCATGTGACTCGACACTCATTTCAATTTCTCTGCTACATTTCTCTTAATTATTTTGTAGTGCGATCCACATTTAGCCTAGTTTTTCAAAAAGTCCCCACCCCTCCCAAGAGGACTCGCTCTCCATTTGCGTGCAGCATGTGGATATAGTAATTTAAATATTTATTGCATTTCTTTTTATGCAGGCAACACTCTTGAGGCACAAACAACCTACAACACCAGCCCCAAACCCTCTTGCCTTTGTCTGACCTCAAAATTAAATTCAAATCTCGGGCAAATGGCAAGACTTGGCAGAAGGCAGTTTCAATTCTGACTATACCCTTGGAGGGTATTATAGTTTAAGTAAGAAGTTTACAATGCAATAAAAGAGTAATTTTATTACCTTTTTATGTACATTTAAATATAGTCTTAATCAGCAATAAGAGCCGAGTTGATATAGATATGTTTATCTATCTGGTAATCCCTTTTCACTAATTAAGTCACTTAATTTTGGTTAGTAAGTTAAAAATTATAAACTGAGAGGGTATTTTGAATTCGATTTCCTAAAGTTTGTTTCCTTACTACTTTATAATACACTTAGTTTTTTGTTGACAAACAATTTTTAAGGATGGAAGTATACATTTGCTTGGCATATATATATGGCAATATATTTATTAGTTATAAGTTTTGTTATTAATTTATTTAATTTATTCCATAAATGAAAAGTAATTCGAATTTATTTGACTATACAAATTTAGAGTCTTTTATGTAAAATATGTAATGATTTTTTTTATATTAAAAACAAATATAACAAGAAAATAAACTGATTTCGGCAAGTTTAAGTTGGGGTATACAACCTTTTGCGAATTAATTATAGGATCGAATCGGAAATGGATCATAACTAAAATTATTTGAATCAATTATGATATATATTATGATATTTATTTGTACATGAACATGAAAAAACGTATAACTAAGCCAAAACAGCTTTAATTTTATTTCGGAAAGCTTTTCCATGTTAGTTTTTATTTGTATAATAAATCTACCCACTCAATGTAGAAAAAAAAAAATTTTATTAATTTTGTGAAAAGTTTAACAATAAAACACCTTAAAAATTTTTGAAAAAATTAAAAAAAAAAAAATTTTGCCTAAGTTGGCTAGATTAACTCTGCTGTTGATGCTGATCAAGAATATATATGATTTATGGGGTCGAAAATGACTCCTTCATAGCGTTTTACTCTTCTGACTAAAACTATAATACCATGAAGGTTATACAAATATTTGTATATCTTAAGAAATTAACAAAAGTCTTTAATTAGAACTCTGAATAGTATTAAAAAGGTTTATATATTCAGCAGACTTTTCTATTTTATATATAATTCACATAAACAGTTCTTAAAATTTATGTTAAATTAATTTTAAATTTACTCTTTTCCGAGGATAAATTAACTTTATTTTTCTTATAAATATTTACCTATTTACACTCATTTCTTCTCCCTTATTTATGTTCAATAATTCACCTGTTAATTTAAATTCCATTTCTTAGTAAGCACATCGCTTAAAGTAAAGTTACCATTACCATTAATCTGGGTACAATTTCCTGCCCATCACTGGGCCGTACGTGCATATGTTCAATGGAGTGATATGAGAAACTTCACACGACACAATGTATGGCAAAAAGGAACAATCAGCGAACACGAACTGGATTCATGCACTTGCTCTGGCAACCTCTAGCTGCTCCTCCGACTCCTCCTCATCCTCCTCTTCCGTTTCCGGTCGAGGATTTGCCTTTGCATTGATGGCGTGCCTAGGCAATCGCAATTTATAGATAATTTGATACGAGCCGTCAGACAGTCGCTCAGCGAAAGAGTCGGTTCCAAAGTGGCACAAGGACAAGTCGGGGAGGCATCGAATTGTGGGTGGGAGGGGTTTCGGAATGCATTTCTAACGAATTTTCATTAGCCACCAAATTGCAAATGAATATTTGAATGTTCTGAGGGGTTACTGGGGCGTATGCGTAATTCGTTCTCACGTTCCACATACGACCCCAGAAAAAAAGAAAGAAAACACTGGAATGCACAAAAACAAAAGAAGGGGAAGCTTAACTGCAACTGAAAAAATGCAATTAAATGGATTAAGCGAGAAGGAAAGAGGCAAAGAGTCAAATGAGGCCAACATGAAGAAGGGTTTTCCTCTGATTCTAGCAAAGGGGTTGGCTTTTTTCCAAGCTATTTCCTCGCCGTCTGTGTTTGTTTGTCGAACAACAAACCAGAGGCAGTCACAACATTCAAGGGGGGAGGACTCAAAACAAAGGCGGCGTGGGAGGGGCAGGCTCTAGGACACATACGAGGATTCAGGCACTCGACCGCTTATCGTCAACTGTCATCGTCTGCCAGTCTCTGAACTCTAGAGTACTGAGAAAAAAGTAACTATGGTTGAGAAAAGTATTTCAAAGTACAAAATAACAGACTTTAAGAAATATTTTAATGAGTAAACTCAGCTTTTATTGGCAGATAATTTCATAAATTTAAATTCTATACTTTATAATCTATATAGATCCTATGATCCTTGTTTACAGTGCACTCTCTGTCTCTCTAAGGTGCATGGACATCACACTGTTTTGTTGCAAATGTGAGCGACCGATTGATGAGCATGTGACGTTTCCCTTTGGCCCTCATTGCAGTTCATGTCCATCCATCTATATGTCTATATGGCTATATGTCTATATGTCTATTTGGCTCTCTGGCTATATGTCTGTCTGTCTGACTTTCTGTCAGCTTTTCCTGGCTGAAAGTGTGTCAAATAAAGTGCTAAAAGATTTATGCCCTGCACCTCCTTTTTCCAGCTGGGTCGCTCTTCCTGCGAGTAGTTTTACCTCTGTTTCTGCCTCTAGTTCCCTCTCTATCTCTCCCTATCTCTCTCTCTCTCTCTCTCTCTCTCTCTATCTCTAGCTCTCCCTGTCTCTCGTCCTGTCTATTGCTCTCAATAAGTGGCACAAAGGACAAGCGGCTGGCGCTCACCGCAGGCTTAAGTGTCTCTAACTACCAGACAGACAGGACATCTAACTGGATATTTTGCCTATGGCCTCTCATCTCTCTGTGTGTGAGTGTGTGTGTGTGTGTTGTTCCTTTGCTGCAGTTTTTCATTGGGATTTTCCGCAGCTCCTGGGCTGCATGTTGATGTCCATTCTTGGCCCAGGCCAAATTTGGGCTCACAATACCGGTTTACCATTTCATCTCTATATTTCTTTTAGTTGATTATGCTCATGAATAAGGCAGGACAGGTTTTATGAAGTGCAAGTCTGAAGAGTTCATGTGGAATTTAGAGGTTTGAAAAGGAAACTGCGGACAGTGCTATGAGTTCTTTATTATAGATTTTAAATTGAAGTTACTGATATTTCAAAAAATTCATATTTTAAAATAATACCTTGGTTAAAATCATGATTCTTAATGCTTTGTCAGAGGAATAGGTCAATTTCAAGGACCTAAATTTATTCTAGCAATACAAACTATCTAGAATACATTCTTTTAATATAATCTATTATATGTATCTCCCACAAAAATCACCCATTCTCTTTTCATTTTAATTTCCCCTAATCTTGGCTTTAACTAGCCAAAAAATTGAATTGAATTTAACTGGCACGCAGCCTTCGCACAGCTGACAGTAATGCCGCCAAATGAATTATTGCGCACTAAGGTTTCGCCACCTATCCTACCCCCCTCTATCCCCAGCTTTGTAAGGATACACACCGCCCCCCCATTTGGCCACAGGACATCCTCCCAGCCCAGTTCCGCCCACTTTTCCGTGTCCTTCGTCGTTGCAGTTGAGGGCCGCGCTTGAAGGGACTGAAAAAAAAGTGAAATAAAAACGCTGCAGAGACGCTGGAGGCCAAAACGAAATCAGGCGAAACAACTAATGACAATAAGGCGCGAACTGGGAAAATCCCCACCACTCCCCCGTTTCCCCTCTCCCCGCTCTAGCTACTAAAAACAAAAAAAATATATATCACGCATACGCCGCGTTGCCTGAGGTTGCTAACAAAAATATCACGCATACGCCGCCGTGCAGCAAACGAAATCAAAACATAAACCCAAATCCCAGTGACTGCATCGGGTTTTCCTGAGCGCGTGACCAAAACAGAGAGAAAGGGATTGCTGAGACTCTCTCAAAGAAACAGAGAGAGAGAGAGCGCAGCGAGAGAGCGGCTTTCTCACGAAGGAGTTTTCCCCCCGACATCATCATCGTCATCATAATGAACATAAGTGCGACGTCGTGTGCCAGTTGGGGGAAATTGCATTTTCCCTCAGTTCTGTTTCAGTTTCGAGTCCGTGCAGTCGTGTTGGCCGGAGTGAAAAACATTTGCCAATTAAAAGAAAATTTTGCACAAGTAGAGAAAGTAGCAAAAAAGTAGAAATAGAAAAATAGAGAAATAGAGAAAAGTAAATAAGCAAACAAGTGCAGTCCAGATATACATATATACTTTTCCCCCGGAGAGGGAGATGATTAATCCCCCCAAAACCTAGCATAGATACCTACATTTTTTGGGTGGACAAAACAAACAAAAACACAACCGTGTGTGGAGAGTGCTCTGCTGGTGCTGGTGGAAAACTAAAAGGCACAGCGACTTTGACAACCAACAAGAAAGGAAGCAAGCAAGAACCATGTCGACGTTACCCTTCCTCCTGAGCGTCGCCGATGAGCTGGACAACATCCATTCGCAGTCGTACATGGATGACTTTGGCCTGGGCTTCCATCCGCATCGTCAGTACTATCGCACCCCAACCATTCAGCTGTCCCTGCCGGCCAGCACGGATTGGACGGGTCGGTCGGATTGGTCCCAGGCAACGGGCAGGCACACTCGCTATCGTAGCTACAAGTTCTACGATGATTCCCAGAACAATCTGGAGGAGGAGCAGGCGGAGGAGGAGCAGCAACAGCAGCACCAGCAACACCAGCAGCAGCAGCTGCCAGAGGAGCAAGTTCTACCGCAGGAGCTGCGTCAGCACCAGCAGGAATCCCAACAGCAGATGCAGATATCCGAGGTGCAGTCCTCGAATGCCACCACTGCCACCACTCGCAAAGGCCTGGGCATGGTCAATTCCCACTCTCATGATGTGGGCGTGGGCGGTCTGGGTTTGAATCTCAAATCTGGAGAGGAGGAGGATGACGAGAACATTGATCGTACCGTTCGAATGTATAATTTGTCCAAGAAATGCTGCAAGAATTACTATCGTCATGCCCTGGAGACCGGACCGGGGGCCAGTGGCCGTGTCAAGTGCAGCAATCTCCGCTCCGAGAGTCACAAGTCCAGCTCCAGCTCTGAGGAGAGCCTTCAGAAGATACCCTCGCCCATAGAGTTTCTCACCTGCTTCCTGGTGAAGAAGTCACGCACCCCGAAGAGCTCCTCTGGGGCGGGCCAGCAGCTGAAGAAGACATAGAACACGGCCCGGCTGCTGCCGGCAGCAGCATTGTCCGCCAGGACTTCCACTCTGAGCTCCACGGCCACCAGTGGGGCTGTGACCAGTGCCAGCCTGGACACGGAGACGGCGACATCGAAGCGGCGCAGCAATTGCTTCTGAATGTTGGCCGGAGTCGGCGTTGTGTGTGGCCAGGCCTGGAGCTGGCTGCAGCGTTGCGGGGAGTTGCCCAGCTCGGAGCCCACATCGCTGCCAGTCACGCGTCTTGGTCGTATCGCCTACTAGGTCCACTTGTCCGACTCCGAATCATGTCCAGAGGTGGCATAAAACCGAAAGGGGGGAATACGCTTTTGGGTGTTATGTTTTTTTGTGGCCACTTATTGAGTTGGATTAACCTTTCTGGGTTATCCTTTGGCTTGAAAATGAAATATAAAGGATTTTACCAAAGGGATTTTGTCAGCATAGGGTTTTTGATTTGCACTGGCAACACAATTTATGAGCTTTGTAATCAAGTTCTTGATGAGGTTTATATTCTAAAGATTTTTTAGAGCTAGTATTTCCTTTTTAAGAAGATTATTTTGGGAATCATGTTATAAACAACTGATTTTGTAAGCAAATTTAAAGAGTTCAAGAATCTAAATTCCTTTTAAACCCTTTAAAAATATAATTTTCCAGTGCAATATTGCAAGCAACTAAAGGCCAAAAGCAAATTGAAGCTTAAAGCAAAGAATAATATTTCCAAAAAACTTTACGAGTATGTGTAGTTATAATGTAAAAATAAAACAAAGTAAAACCAAAGAACAACTATTAAGCCAACACCGAAAAAATTTTTGCAACCCAAACACACACAATTTTTAAAAGCCAGATTTATACTAAAAACAAAACAAAACAAAAAACGAAATACGAAACCAAGAATTTGTTAAGCAAACGTTTTTTATACAATTTTTTGATACCAAGCAAAAGATATAACTTATATATGGATATTATATTAATACTGGGAATGTTTGATTAAATCAAGTTACCAATTGAGGAAGCAGAAGAAAGGAGAATCGAGTTGAACTAAAACCTTTGAAGCACTTTTATATCTATGATTCCATGTTAATATATGTAATTCTTTGAATTGTTTCAGGGAAAACTTTTATAATATATATAATTTCACAATGAAAATGTTCCTTCCTGTTGAGCAGTTTTTAAGGAAATACAAATCTTTCAGGGAAATTATTTATGACAAACTCTATTTTATGTTAAACTTTTACACGTTCTATTAAATTGGTATCCAAAAAAGGTATTGGTTCAGCTGGAAACTCTAGAAAATTTTATACAAGCTGTTAGCTGTTTTAAGCCAAATAAATTGCGGGCTAATTCAATAGGTCTTCTGACACACACACAAACACACTAACACACAATCTATACACAGCAATGCCAATGTTTCATTTTCACACAAACACGGGAAACTTTTATTTTCCCCTATATTTTCCTGTACTAAAAGCCCAGCTAACTGAAAAATGTTGAACAAAAAAAGAAGAAGCAAAAAAAAGAGAAAATGTAGCAGGAAAGCTGGCGGAACTTTTCCGCAATGTCGGCAAGTGTTTTGGGCCAGAGGAGCGGGCGGGGGTGGGGTGCTCTATGAAAAGTGAAACATGTTTTCAATTTCCTTTTTTCGGGGGACTGTAAACAAGTCAATAGCGAAACTACGGCTAAGGACAAACACACAGAAGACCTTGGTCCCAATTTCAAATTAGTGAAAAAGCAAAACCCAAAACTGAAAAACAGAAGCAAAAAAAAAAAACGGAAACCGAAAACAGATTTTGTAGGTGAATTGCAAATGGAAAACTTTGTTTGTTGGGGCTTGAGTATAGATAAATGCTGGAACACAGATATATCAGAATAAATAAATATATATTTATAGTTTTGTAGTCAGATATTCTCCTCGACAAGAAAAAATATTTGCGTGTTCTAAATGTATTCTAAATGTTAAAACACAAAACCAAACCCGAAGGCAAGAAAAATATTTCAAAAGTATTTACAACTAATCAAGAACAAGTTTAGCCATTACAGAGAACATTTTATATAAATATATTATATGTGTAGCCACACTGTTTGCACCCTTCAGAGTTTAGAACCAACATTAAATAAATACTCAGAATGTATCTAAGTGTATCGCATAAAAACTCATAGCTTTACCACTCGACGAAGTATAAGTATATATATAAATTCAAAAGTCAAGGTCAGCATCAAATCTCTCGGATAAAATGTAATACTTAAGAGCTCCAAACCAAAACCCCCACAAGAGATATGCCACAAAAGAAATTGTTAACAAGAATTACTTAGCTGTAGTTTGGACTAACGAGTTTTGCCAGTAGCTCTTGAACCACTTTTATCTAGATGGAAAAGCATTTTAACATAGGCCAATTTCGGGCATCATTCATCCAATATCGAGATATATATATATATATTCAAAGTAATTTAGATGTTCCTCAGAACACCATCAAGAAACCTCTCGTAACTATCATACTTTATCAACGAACAAGCACTCAACGCATATCATTCCAATACAATAGATTTCAGCTAAATCGTATTCAACTTGAGATTCAATAAATAAATATCAACAAAATGGAAAAGATGTTTTAATGGTAGATAGAAAAAGATGAAGAGATTAAAATAAATAGTATTTACTTGATAGTATTAAGAGTACCCCCTAAAGAACCTATTAAATCTCTCCCCTGTTATTTTAACAATCAATTTAAAAAGTACTCCCATTTGATAACAAATCTCTTTGGTACATTTTCCATTCTTTGGACACACCATAAATATCCGTTTACAAAGCGAAGACAGCTCCTCCTTGCCCCCTTTCCTGGCCCTGACAGACAAACGTGCAAGGTCATTTGTGCGTCCTCCAACACAAAAACTTGTCACTAGCATTAATTTTACTGTCTTGGCACAAATAGGAGAAAAAAAAAGAAATACATATAAGAAAGCTGACACTCAAAAACTGTCCGAAGGCATTTTACAAATGTTCAAGAGCAAGTAGTGTGTGAGTTTTTGTACATATTTTAAACGCTGACCTTTGGTGACTCATAAGGCCAAGTAGTGTCCTTAAGCTGTGCGCATCTTGCCACAAGGATGTGTCGTCATTGGGTTCCTCATGGAATTTCAAATTAACTGCAGCAAAATACAAGCTTATGTCCACACTTTCCATTTCGGTGTTTGGCATTGTTTAGCCATCACGACTCTATTGGGTTCAATAGCACCCAACAAAAATAGAATAATAGGCCGGGCCAGGCGTTGTTTGTTCGACCCCATTTCCACCGCCACCGATCCTCCGAGAGTCCTGCTATAAATAAATCCTTCATTCGTATGCAAACAAGTGCAAGTGGGCGGTTCCTTGCATTCGCCTTCGGTGGGCGTGACTGGCGGGCATAATGGACAAGTTGGGAAATGTTGTTGCAGTTGCGGGATTCCGTTGAAGGTTGCCTCTGGGCATGATAACTATCTTAAAGGGAAGGAATCATGGTAGAAGGGGTTTTATAAAATATATAAATATATTTTTATGGAGGAATTAAACGAGTTATAAACACCCATAGAGATATTTAAATTATTTTAAATATTTCTTCAGGTTCATATTTCTGGAAGAAAGAAAGTGTCTATAAGTATATACCTTCATATTAATGATGTGATGTGATTTGATAGCAAAATACTATAGGAATAGGAATATTAAGGAATAGTTTCTTTTATAAAGTTTTCCCTGTTAATAACATTCTTTTATTTAATACTATTTATTTCAATTGGTTTATTGTATACCTACATTTTCCAGTGTTTACTACTTTTTCAGGTGTATTTGCTTGTGTAGGATTTATAGTTTTCCACATGGCTGATTTAATGCATTTATTATTTTTTAAAAACTGACTTTGCATTTGAATGAACTTGATTAAACATTCATTTTATTGAATTGAATGCGACATAAAACTGAGAAATACATGTAAATGTATTTGGTTTTATTTTAGCATGTTCTGAATTCAGTTATTTGGAAGGATATTTAATTATTTGAGATATGTGTTCTCTTTAATTGAAAAAAAAAACATCACTTACCTATTATTGAGAGCTAAACTAAAAACCTATACGTTTAAGAAGTTTGAATAAGCTATTTCCTTCCTTAAGTTTTTTTAATAATTATTATATAATTCTTAATTTATATTTTTAATCCCTTGAGAGTAATATATATCCTTCAGTATATTCTCTTTCCCTCAAGAGTGTCCCGGCTTCGACTTGAGTTCCCTTCCTGGCCCATTCTTTGAGTTTTCTCTGGAAAAACTTTTGCCAGTCTGCTGTTGGTGCTGTTGCGGCAACTATTATTGTGGCTGTCTTTTGGGGGCTCATTCTTTGGGACAACTGCAACCTAGGAACCTACACTACGTAGTAGTAGTGTTCACTTCGCATGGCCAATTACGTCCTGCCTTCGCGTTGTCCTGTCTTTTCCTTCGGCTTGAACTTTTCCTTTCGTTGCACCTCTGCCTTGTGTGTTGAGTAGGGGTTTTACCCCCGCTTTCCCCGGGCAAGCGTCGCATTGCAGTGGCATGTTGGCCCAGGTCACTTGCACCTGTTCGTGCACCGGCACCTTGTTGCCCTTTTGCGGCTGAATGTTTAGTGTCTTTTTGGTGGCCATTTATTTGTTACACACGACTTCACCGCCCGGCGACTTCATTTGCCACGTGAACGGTATGGCTTATTGATTTCTTTGACTTAATTTGCTTGCCATTTTGTTGGCCATTGCAATGAATTTGTTAAATGCTGATATTACGCATACGTCATGTTAACCGGGGTTTGTTGAAAGTTTTCCTTGCAGACTTTTAGGCACGTCTTTCTTATGTATTTTACTTTTGAATTTAGAGAAAATAAACATGTTAGTTTGCTACAAAATTCATAAATGCTTTTGGGCTTATGCTGTTAAATTCCTAAATGATATTAACTTTAACTCTGAGAAAGTTTTACCAGAACTCAAAAATAAGAGGTTTGGGTGCATGTTAATTATTATAAACAAAACAAATCTTATAACTTTAATCTTTCAGGCATAAAGCATGAATATTTTTCCATATTTATTTAAACATTACTGCACACTTTTAAACCTTAATCAAAATAGTTTAGTTTTAGCTCTCGTAATCCCCTCGTATATTTGCTTCAATTTTTATGACATTTGTTAAGGAGAATCTAAACATATTTCTTAAAGAACATTTGACCCATTAGAGCCCACACATTTCAGAGGGCTTTAGGCCAGCCGAGACATTTCATAAGATTGTTTTTTTTTTTTTTGTGAAAATATAAATTATGATTTAGGTAAAATCAGATGAGGCTTGTTCGTTTTACTTGCGGAGGTGTCAGTTCCAATAAAATTGTTCTGAACAAACTGTTGCGCTAATCAAACAAATGGTCCAGGCTGTATTCTAAGGTGAATTCCTCGCTGGCAGACTGCCATCCCATCGGATGACAAATTTTCTTTTCCGTGTTGTGGCAAAGCTAACGAAACATTTGTGGCCATAAACTATGATGGGGTGGGGTGGGGGTGGGATCCCTTGGGGATTGGGTGGCTGTGTGGTGGGTGTGTGGA